AATGTTAGGTCATCTGTGGAGCCCCAGTGAACAACAACTCAAAGTGTGGCATTCCAGGAAGGGGTTTTGTTAGCATGTGATAGCCAGTGGGGTATTGCCTCACACTGTTGTGGGGTAAGTCCATTTAACCTCCTTTTTTATGCCAATATTTTAGAATGCCAAATTTTTCTTACCTATAAATTATTTACTCTTATTTTAAATTCACTTTAGGGATATCAAGATGATTAAACAAATAAAGTTACTTACCAAGCAAGTCTAAAGATCTGATTCTGATCTCTGGAACCCACATGAAGTTAGGCAAGAACCAGCTCAACAAAGTGGTCTTCTGACCTCCATATGTACTGCCATGGTGCTTGTGTCCTCCTCCCCCACGTAATGCATACCTCCACATTATAATTATATTATATTATCTATATATTATATATTAGATTGTAGTTTTGTAAATGTTATATATAAAATTGTAGTTTTAAATGAATTGATTAGCTTATATATAATTTATAGTAAATCAATACATTAAAACTACAATTTTATACTTAAATATATTTTATACTTGAATATTTTGATGTAACATGAATATATGTACAAGGTACTCAGAAAAATGTCTTATTGTTCAAAAATATGCAAATAAGATATGGGATTTGTACTTTTCTAAATGCGTTTTCTTCAGATTTCCACTCATGAAATGGAGGCTGCTCCGCTTCTGTGCATTGGGTGTTTTCTTCTGTGCTGCTCGCTTGACTTCTGCCAAAAGTCTCCCACCCTCCAAGTCGTGTTTCTCATTTGTTACATCGCAGGTTTCATTTAAATTTGTTTTTGCCCTTTCTCGTGTTTACACTAAAGTATAGGCTTCTCTTTATTTTATACGTAGAAACTTGACCTACTTTGCTGCTGAAATTCAAGCTCTTATAGAATTAGCTTACTTGATTTCTTATTTGTCTGTCTTATTTATTAGTGCAATTTTTCCCTTGTACCTATGCCTCAAAAAATATATTACTCCCTTGGATACATTTTTCTTTGGAGCGGTCGTATCTTCATTTTATTTTTTTTCTTCTATTGAAAATATTTTTATTACATAATATAACCTGATTACAGTCTCCTCTCCCTCAGCTCGTCCCAGTTCCTCCAAATTTCCTTCCCCATCTGTATCCACCCTAAATCTGTTTCTCAAAACTAACAGGCTCCCCAAAGATAATAATAAAGTAAAATATAGCAAGATAAAGCAAAAACTAACACATCAAAAATAGGAGAAAAGCGATAGAAGAAACAAAGCATAAGAAAAGGCATAAGATACACATATAAACTTAGAGATCCATTCATTTGCACACTCGGGAATCCCATAAAAATACTAAAATCGAAGCCATAATATATACATAAAGAAGCTTTAAGGTAAAATGTAGAAAAATATTTTAAATACAAATAATGTTAAATTAAAATGAAAAATAAGTTTGTTTTTTTTTTTTAATTTCTAGGCACACTATTGTAAGACAAGTAACCTCCAGAGATGACCTTGAGTTCATTTTCTCTTGACTATGTATGGCTGACAGCACAGCTTACCCTTAAGAGTAATTTGTTTTTCCAATAAGACTTCCGTGTAGAGCCTGATCTTGTGCAGACCTGTGCAGACTCTGTGTATGCTGCCCCAGTCCTTGTGAGCTCATACCTTTGTCTGTCCCGCTGTATTTAGAATGCCCTGTTTTCTTGGTGTACCTCAACCCCTCAGTGTCAAACACTCTTTCCACTTCCTCTTCTGCAGAGTTCCCTGATCCCTTAAAGAAGGGATATGTGATGGAGATATCCTATTTAACTTCTCCCTGTTCAGTGAAGGGTGAACGTGTGGTCTTCTGCAACAGTGCCTTACAGGCAGGCTGTAAAGAACAACCAATAAATAGCCTTGGCAGCAGCCTGGGTTTTTTTGGGTTTCCATGGGACGGACCCCTTTGGAAAATGATTCAATTAGATGTAACTGATTCCAGGTACAAGAAAATTCATTTGGTGACAAGAGATGTCCACTAGGGGCTGTGTCTCCCCTGTTATTTGGATTATCAGTTAGATCACCTTGATATTTGCATATATTTTAGGAAGTTTCTGTTCTATGGGGTTCCATACTACCCCTGAAATGGTCCTTAATTTTAGCCACATCTCTTTGTATTCTCTACCTCATCTTCCTGTTCCCTGCACCTCCCTGCTTGATCCTCACATTCCAGTGCCCCATCCCTCATCCATCTACACCCATCTACTCTTCCCTAGAGAGAGATCTCTCTGTTACCCCTAGTCTCTTACTCTATGCTTAACCTCTGTGGTTCAATGGGTTATAACTTGCTTACCATTGACTTAACACCTAACATCCACATATAAGTGAACGCATACCATATTTGTCTTTCTGGGTCTGGTTACCTATTTTAGGATGAATTTTTCTGTCTTCATCTATTTATATGTGAATTTTATGGTTTCATTTTTCATGGCTGAGTGATACTCTGTATGTAAATGTACCACATTTTCTTTATATATTCGTCTGTTGAGTGAAATATAGATTGTTTCAAATCTCTGCCTATTATGAATTATGTATGTCCTGAACCTCTGTTTCCAAATAACCACTCAGAGTCTTATATTAATTGTAAATGCTCAGGCTTGTTACTAACTAGCTCTTATACTTAAATTAACCCATAATTTGCAGTTCAGCTGAGATCCATTCGGATGAGGACTCAGAGGCTTCCAGTCTGAGGAAACAGGATCAGCTAAGGAACTGGTGAGGTGAGGTAGCTGTGGCTGGTTCTGCTTCTCTGATCTTCCAGCTTTAACCCCCCCCCCAAAAAAAAATTAACCCATAATTCTTATTATGTTTAGCCACATGGCTTGATACCTTTTCTCAGTATGTCATTCTCATCTTGCTTCTCTGCATTTGCCAGTGACTCTCTGACTCTGCCCTTCCTCTTCCCAGAATTCTCCTAGTCTGGATCTCATGCTCAATCTCTTCCTGCCCAGCTATCGACCAGTCAGCTTTTTATTAGCAAATGAGAGTAATGCATATTTATAGTGTAGAAAGAATTGTTCCACAGCATTTCCCTCTTTTTGTCTAATTAAAGAGGAAGGTTTTAACCTTAATATAGTAAAACTATATCCAACAAAAGTTATTAAGTAAGAATTACAGTAACAATATCCAATCCATTTCCACTTGGTAAAATTAGGGAAAATACTTATTTTGGAGACTCTAAAGTTTTATATCTAATTTAGTTTTTATTATAAATAAGGAAAACTATAATTATAACTATGTAATCTTCAACTCTATCAAAGACCCCAGAAGGATGAAATGTTACCTAATGACAGGGACATCAGGCTGTGTGGACAGTCACCGAAGTTCCTCTGTAACATTGGGGCATCCAACTCTGGCCTACAGCCCTAGCATCTCTGACAGACTTTGTGAAGCAGAGAATTCTGAAGGACTGTCCTTCCTTGTCTTGGCAAAGTTTGGCAGTCACCTATTTTGTATCCTCCTGCAGAATCAGGTTAGAAAGTAACTGTCAGCAATTGAGGCAAGGGCAGTCTCTTTGCCCATATGACTAGCTTTTGCCATAAAGAAAACAAACTCCCTATGGAGTTTCCTTGATGACTATCATTTTCTCTGAAGTAGATTGGTGCTGCCAGGAACAATCTGCTCTCACTGTTATGAAAAGTCTGTTATTAAAACATTTTAAATGCCTTATTCTGTAGGTCATTGAAGTATTTGAAGATTATCTATCTATCTGAAATATATCTTTGTATACCCAGAAAATCTAACGAACGTGATTATAAGTTTGACTATGATACATGACTATTAATTTGTGTTTCTTAATTACACATTACATTTTTAATTGAGCTGCATAAACACAATATCTTAAACAAGAGTAGAAATATACATACTGTATAACAGAAATAACTTTCAAATTGTATCAATAAACTAAAATCCATACCAATGTAAAATATCCTGAGATTAATAGCTGTTTTTTGGATTAAAGTAGATTCAATAATCTATCCTTTTATCCTATTTCTATACCACCCCTTTTTCTTTTTAGAATGAGATCCATGAATCTAATCTCCTTTGTTCCACTTTTTTCCTGATCATTACTAACAACAACTTATAACCAACCCCCCTAATTAATGACAGACATTATAACCAATATTTTGGGAATGTGAGTTTGGTTCTCTAGACTACTTCCTGCTAATTGGGGGCAATGGTAATTTTTGAGGGACCATGAGAAAATTTAGGACAATGGCTAAGTCTTGGCTGGAGTAGTCTGTGAGGCTGGATCATCTCAGTCAGTAGCCTGGAAGCTGTTCTGGATGCAGAACTCAGAGAAAACTGTAATGGAGGCATGTTGAAATGTTGGATCACCCAAGTAAGAAAGAACAGTAGCCTCGTGTCTTTGAGTCATAGCAAAAAGCTTGGGGACCCAGAAATGGTTTTGAGTTAAAAGCATTAACATTCTTTCCAGAGGGCTGAATATACAGATTGGACAGATGTTTTTAGCACAATGAAGAGCATTTTTAAGTCTATACTTAGAAAACAATGAAAGGAAATTGAAAATCTGGAGCTTATGATTATGATAACATGACTCGGTGCTTACCAATAGTACAGAAAGGGAACTAAATCTGAAACATTTATTTTTGGTTTTTCAAGACAGGGCTTCTCTGTGTAGCTTTGCACCTTTCCTGGGACTCACTGTGTAGCTCAAGCTGGCCTCAAACTCACAGAGAGCTGCCTGCCTCTGCCTCCTGAATACTAGGATTAAAGGCATGTGCCACCACCATCTGGCTGAAATTACAAATCTTGCGATAGAATTTATGATATAGTCCTAAGAATTTTTTGAGAGTGTTATGCCCAGATCTCGGGGATTCTGAAGAGACCAACACGGAGACCAAATCCCATAGGTAAAAGCAAAGAGTCTTTATTTTTAAGCTCAGAGCTTGGACTCTGTCTGACACAGCAGTGAGAGCAGAGAGCCCTGAGCCTGGGAAGGGTGGGGTTTTTATCATAGCAGAGGTTGGGGTGAGGGGATTTCCAGGGTTCAGGACCCTGATTGGCTGACATTTGTCTAGAGGTATAGGGAGTATTTGGAATGTCAGGCATTTCCTCTTAGATGAAGGCCACACTGGGTGGGGTCAGCTTATGGCTTTTCCTGGGTCCAGGTGCTGCCTGCCAGAAGCTGTGTTTGGGCCTCTAAGCCTGTCATGGCAGCTGTGTGGTCAAGCTGTTTTACCATTCCCACATCCGCCTCCCCCCCCCCTTCACAAGTACCAATGACATAACTCAATCATGAGTTCTACCTGTCCAGGGATTCAAGGGAATTGGGACCTAAGAACCATCAGCTAACAGATTTTTCTAGGGCAGCGACATCTGTATCTATTACCATTCTTAAGGCCCTGTAGTTCTGATCTCTGAGTACAACCCATAATACCTCTTTGGTTCTGCACAAAGTAGGTCAAGTATCTTATCTTATTACAGAGCCATTTCAGTTAATAATCTTATCAACTGACAACTCTGAACCTATTTTTCTGGTATGTCAATGGACATTATGGTTGGCTATCTTATCTTGCCCCTGTGCCAGGGAGTTTCCTTTTGAACCAGCATTTCAAGCTATTTTGGGCAGGGAACATGGGACAATGTAGTCTCCTCTGGAACTGCTTCAAGCTGACATTGGGGCACCATTGTCAGGGCCCCAAAAGGCTGAAATGCTAGCCAAAGGCTGGGCAATGGGGCATCTGTCAGAAGCATGTGGCTAGCTTAACCCACTGTAGAGACAGGGAACAATCATGTTGGCTGGGCTGGTCCATGTCAGCTTTTAGCAAGTCCAGAGCTCGTAGTCCTCCAGAGCAGTGTAGTCAGCAACTGAAGCTTGGAGGTGTCTTCCAGCCAAGTGTAAACCTGTTGAGACAAATTTAAACTAGGAACAGAAGTTAAAATTTATGAACTTATTTGGAATTTTTAGGCCCGTATTCTTAGTAATTGGAAAGAGCTGGAGTTCTGAGACCAGGAGAGAAAAAAAATATCATCTTTAGGAATAGACAAGTGGGGGAAATTTAAGCTGTACTTACCTGAAGTTCTTCCGACCCTGTGAAGTGGAATCAGGCTTTTTAAGTCCTCTGAGGCCTACACAAACTATCTTACAAAATGACATAAAAATTTTAGATACATTAATATTACCAATCTGTACTGATATCCATATCATAGACAAAGCAGGTGATGGGTATCTGTAAAATAGCATAAGTAGAATCATACCTTTGAGTCCTAGCAAAAACTACAGATTTGGGCTAAAAGCTTGTGCAGTTTCCTTCTGTCCAGAGAGTCAGGTATAAATTGGACAGAGATTTTTTTTGGCCTGATGAGCATTTTTAAGTTTATATTTAGAACACAACCAAAATAAATTTCAAATGTTGAGCTTGTGATTGAACAGTAAGAAGTCATTGCTCTACCAGGTTATCAGAACTCTATTAAATGTTAAGCTCTGAACTGTTATATCATAGAAGGAGAGAGCAATCTAAAACATTTCTCATAATCTAAATCATTTATCTATATCTTTACAACTTGCATTTATATCTTAAATTATTTTCTGCGATCCTCAAAGCTTAAAAGCTTTCATATCCTTAGACCTTTCTTAGACCCATATTTAAACCTTTATAACTTGTTTAAACTTTTATCTTAGAACATTTTCTTAAAAATGAGCTAACAAGCTGGCTATAGCCTTGCAGAAGGATCTGGTTGTTTGATGTTGCCAACCTGACAAAGTTATAGCTAGCCTAGCTGTCAGTACTATCAGAGATGATAGAAGGATAAATTACATCTGAGTGCAGACCAAGCAGCTTCCAAATCTATAAATGACAGGGACCAGTCCATATCCAGGTCTCCACAGCATTGGAGGCACAAATATCAGAACAACATCATCTTCTTCAGCCATCAGACACATAAAGGAGAGTTTTTCCTGTAGAAGAGGGACATGGAGAAGACTGATCATACTTTGTCTAGGCAAAAGGGTGCAATCAATTCCCCAGTGTCCTGCTGCTCACCCACAGTCTGTGCCGGGTCCTGGTGACAGGTGTTGCATTGTGGGGGCATCTTGCCCTGTGGTCAGTGTTGCCATAATCTAGGCAGAGACAATGTGGTGCCCTCTATGTTATCTTCTTTGGAGACCTTGAGTCACTGCTAGGATCTGGGAGTCTCTCCAATATAATAAGCTTTTAGATCAACATTTTAAATGCCATATTCTGCAGATCTCTGAAGTATGAGAGCTGTCCAGGTACATCTGAATAGACAAACTTTGTTTCTAGTTACTTGTTTTAAACTCAACCCTGAAAACATATTAAAACATATACAGTTATTCCTGTAATTTATTACTTCAGTACTTAGCATGACTACAATTAAAGAACTTGATTATTTATAAGATGACTATTTACTTATGTTCTCTAACAGTCTACAATAAGTACCTTAAAAACAATGATTTTGAATCGAAGCTCTTCTAGTATCAAGTATGGGTTCAGTAAAGAAACTAAAACACAATGGACATGTTAGTGGAAGGGCCCTAAGCTCCTTCTAGTATCAATATAAAACATTTATATGACTCAGTTATCCAAATAGCTTAAGCTTAACAAATTTAGCAATGACAAAGAGGCTAGACACACATTCTAATGCCTGAATAGACCTTGAGTAAGGAGAAACATTCTCCACATCACTGGTTCTCAACTTCCCAATGCTATTTCATAATTGCAGTTTTGCCTTTGTTACAAATATCAATGCAAATATCTGATGTACACATGGTCCTGGGCCACCCCTGTAAAAAGGTTTTTCAACCCCCAAAGGGTGGAGGCTCATGGAGTCAGAAGCTGTTCCAAGCCCTTTGCCTAGGTCATTGTCTTGCTGCATCACAAGAAATGAACATCTCAATTCCTGGTGACTATCACCTGAGTGACTCTTAAATTACAAAGTTCAGCTGCCAGAGCAAGGTACATTCTTGTCTATAACAGCATTGAGATGCAGCTTTAACATTCATCAAATACCTTATTAAACACATGTAGCCATCTCTTTAAATTCTCTTGAAGTTTACTGTTGAACACTTAGCAAAGACTTAAGTACTCAGGTGTAAATCTCCAAGTTAGCTTTTGTTAATCTGAACAGAGGCTTGTAACCTTTAGTAAAAGATGGTCATCAGCCACGTGGCTGCCTATGAGGTCACCAACCAAGATGGAGGAAAGCCACATGGTTGCTGTTTAAAACATGTTTTTCTAAACGATAATTACTTGTGCACATACTCACAGCTGTAGCCAAGTTACGTACATATATATATATATATATATATATATATATATATATATATACAATTAAAGCTAGCTTACATTTACACATAGAGTTAAATCCAAGTCACATACATGACCATATACACTCACACCCACTCATTCACACCCCCCCACACACACATAAACATAAACAGTTTGCAGTGAAGAATCATCAGCTATTTTTAAAATGAAAACGCAGGACACCAACTGTGAGCCCCCCCCACACACACACACACTCACACACACACATCCACACCCACCCCCCCACCCCCCACACATATATACAATTAAAGCTAGCTTACATTTACACATAGAGTTAAACCCAAGTCACATACATGACCATATACACTCACACCCACTCATTCACACCCCCCCACACACACATAAACATAAACAGTTTGCAGTGAAGAATCATCAGCTATTTTTAAAATGAAAACCAGCTAGAGTTAACTTTTAAATTCAGTAGTTGCTGTAGTTGGCAGTTTTCCTGTGTCCCCCCAGGCCCGTGGTCAAGACAAATCTCTCACCCACAGTCCTGCAGCCTTTTATAAAATAATCACACAGAGGCTTCATATTAATTACAACTGCTCGGCCATTATCTCAGACTTATTACTGACTAGCTCTTACATTTCAATTAACTCATAATTCTTATTTGTGGTTAGCCACGTGGCTTGGTACCTTTTCTCAGTTCTGCCTTGTCATCTTGCTTCTTCTCTGTGCCTGACTGCTCCTGATTCAGCCCTTCCTCTTCCCAGAATTCTCCTCTCTGCTTGCCCCACCTATACTTCCTGCCTGGCTACTGGCCAATCAGCACTTTATCAACCAATCAAAGCAACATATATTCACAGAATACAAAATGACATCCCACAACAATTTGCAGGTATAAGAAACCACAACAAACATAGTTCACATCCCCTCTGATCTTCTACAACCTTCCATGTACCCTCAGTCCATTCCTTTGATTCTTCAGACATTTACTTCAAACAAATTTCTCTATTCCTTTTTTAAGATTATTTTAGTCTCCTTTCTCTCTTATGTTTTAAACACGGAAACCCTTACCAAACTATTTCTTGTCCAACAGTGTCCAGAGTCCCACAGTGCACCTGGGTCACGCCTGCTCTGAGCTATTCGAGGCCAGCTTGCTCGGAGCTGCTCTACCTCCTGGCTCCCCATTCAGGGGCCAGCCTTGAACCTGCCCTGTCCAGGCTACGGTGGAGCTCACAGCCTGCCCTAGCTCCTGGACACTTGGCGGTGCCCCGGGGTCTCTGCAGTAGACCCTGGGCCACCATGGCCATGCACCCCACTTGCCACACCACAGAAGTGTGCTCCCCTGCCTGCTGCTGCCTGTGCTCTTAGTCAGAGAGCAAGGAAGCGATGGAGGAATAATCTTAAGTCTGTTCCAGTTCAACCAAAGGGGCCCTCTGTCCTTTCTGCTGGCCATGCAGCCCCAAAGGCTATCCACAGGAGTCACAATGCACACAGAAAACCGGGCATAAAACAACGCACATACCTGGGGCCACATTTCTCACACATTCACACATTCATATAGGCAGGACATTCCAACAGAAAAGCAAGCAATTTTCCCAGGGAAAGAGTGTCAGCTGACCACAAACAGATGTGGGGCTGTCTGCCCTATTGCATATCTGAGGCGCCTGTCCTCAGTCAAACAGATGTTGTGTTCTCTATGCCCACTGCCAGAGTCCGGAACATCTCCCAGCCCCTTGTGATCACAGTGCTCTGGTGCGTCTACCCCTAACCGCTTCTGATCACAATCACTGACTTAGGCTAGCCTCAAAAACAAAACTGAACACAGACAGACAGAACAGACAGACACTTACCGGCTGGCTTCAGGCTCTACAGGAGGTGGTCCTTGTGGGCTTGGGGGATCCTAGATGAGCCCCAAAATGTTATGCCCCAATTTCAGGGGCACTCTCATAAGACCACCATGGAGACTGACAGCAAAAGAGCTTTTATTTTCAAGCTTAGAGCTTGGGCTCTCTGTCCAATGCAGCAGTGGGAGTAGAGAGCCCAGAGCCCAGAGCCCAGAGCCCAGAGCCCAGAGCCCAGACAGGGTGGGGTTTTTTATCATAGCAGAGGCTGGGGTGAGAGGATTTCCAGGGTTCAGGACCCTGACTGGCTGACATTTGTCTAGGGGTACTGGGAATGTTGGGAATATCAAGTATTTCCTCTTAGATGCAGACTCCACTAGTTGGGGTCAAGCTTATGGCTTTTCCTGGGTCCAGGTGTTGCCTGCCAGTAAACCTGTCACAGAAGTTGTGTCTGGGCTTCTAAGCTTGTTATGGCAGCTGTGTGGTCCAGCTGTTTTGGAGGCCCCCACCAGAGTAGAGTACAGAGGAATTGTAGAGATAAAATATTTTTAAGAGTGGGAAGTAGAATCTCAGACATGAGACTTTTGGAAGTGTAAAGCAGAATAAGTTTAGATATAAGAAATTCAGGGATCATATATTTGTGCTATGGCTGTTGTTATCATTTGTAAGAATTTGGAAATCAAGTGCACTAGCTTTTGCCCATTGATCTGTATTGAGGCCAAGCTGTGGTAATAAAATCTGAGTCCATGTTATAAAATTCCACAGGGCAAGGCAGGTGGGGATCTAAATGCTCCAAGAAGGATCTAAAAGCAGAAGCTGTGGAACTGCACACTGGGTGAGAGATGGCATGGGACTGCAGTCCCTTGGGAAAGGCAAGAGAAAGCTAGGAGAGAGTAGGGGATGGAGGAGCCAGTACGTTTCTCTATCAGAGAAAAGAGTGGTGGTGGGTACCCCAAGGGTATAGTAGACTCCAGGAACAGGTAGACATTTATGGCATAGACAAAGAGCAAAATGGTTAAGGACAAGGAGGAACAAGCGGTAACTCCACCTTGAGGGAGGGTTCCCATATCACAGAATCCACCAGGGTGTAGAGAAGCTGCAGAACTTCCAGGAGGGAGCTGAGAGACAAGCAGAGTGCCAGAAGGACTTGAGTGTTATGCCCAGATTTCGGGGACCCCCTAAAGACCACCACAGAGACTGAATCTCACATGTAAAAGCAAAGAGCCTTTATTCTCTTCAAGCTCCGGGCTTGGTCTCTGTCTGTCCAACAGAACTGTGAGAGCAAAGAGCCCTGAGCTCAGGTGGGGTGGGGTGAGGGGATTTCCAGGGTTCAGGACCCTGATTGGCTGATAATTGTCTAGGGGTATCTTGATAAGAAGGGGAAATGGGTGTGTACCAGGCTGGAAGATATCTGGCCACCTTATCTAATGGTTGGAATGTTTGTGATGTCAGGTGCTTCCTCATCCCTGGGTAGGTCCCTGGGTGGTGTCAGCTTAAGGCTTCTCCTGGATCTGGGTGTTGCCTTCCAGGAAGCCTGTCACAGAAGCTGTGTCTGGGCCCCTAAGCCTGTCATGGCAGCTGTGTGGTCAAGCTGTTTTGGGGGCCCCTCTACATTAAGGAACCTGCAGAACTTAGCAGGCAGCTCCTAGGGAGAGGCAAGAAAACTCAGGCCCAAGAGGGCACAAGGAGAGATTCAGCAGGTCCCCTCCACAAGAGAAGTAGAGGAAGGAAAGTGTAGTGACAAGAATTTCAACCCAGGGCATCCCGAAGAAGACTAAGACTCCTGTTAGATACACATGTTCCAAACCACAGAGGAGAAGTATACCCATCCTCGTGATTTAGCCCACTGGCATGAGGAAGCATCCTGGGATGCTGGCGTGGCTTTCAAAGTAAGTGTAGACAAAGCAGGCATCTCTCTGGTGGCATTTGTCCAGCAAAGGTTAGGAGAGAGCACAGGAGAGGAGGGAGATGTCCATGTGGGTGTAGTAGGCCAGCGGCTTAGCAGGCTGCAGGTGCTGGAGAGGTGCCCACATGGTGGAGGGCATAGCAGACCAGAGCCCAGAGAAACGAGAGGAATTCGGTCAGAAACAGGTAGAGGGAACAGCAGCTAAAGGACTGGACTCTAGAGTTTGAAATCAATTTTGTGGGTGGTAGAAGCCAGCAGAAACTGATCCATACGTACTTTAGGAGAGTCAGATCAGCAGCTATGTTCCGAGCGGGGTAACCAAAATGGTTGGGTTATATAGAGAAGGACCGCTTGGAGGAGGGCTTCTCTACCCTTGGGTTAGAGAAGTTCAGGGTAGGAGGTGAGGGGTATGCTAGCCAGGAGGGCCCTGTAATAGAAGGGGGCTGAGGGGTACAGGGAAAACTTGGTGTCCAGTGTCCACTTTGTTAATGGGCAACTCAGCCATTTGTCCCAGGTTTGAGACCTAATGGTCATCAAATTTAAAAATAAGAGAGAGTGAACTATCAATGCCCTTTTCTCTAGGTTGCTAAAACCATGTGGGTACACCCATTCTATTCCAGAAGGGATTTTACAACCTGAAATTTGATTGCACTGTTGAAGATTTAGAATCTCAGAGGGAATGGGATATTCACAATCTACTGTGCCTTCAGTTATGGATATTCATTTGGCAGGCCTATTTGTAGTGAATTAGTAGTGAATTTTTTCACTGAACATTGGGATCCTAAGTTGCCTAGCTTCTGGATTGGCTATTCCCCATTTATAAATGTTATTTTAAAAATAAGAGTGGCGCTATTACCAGGCAGAAAGGTCATGTGACTCGACAAAACCCAGTATCAGAGCTTTATTGGGAGGGTGGTTCACAGAAGAGAGTAACCAGGCCTGGGGAAGACACATGTGCGGGAAGAGAGAGACAGTAGGGGAGGAGAGAAGGGAGAGAAAGAGTCTGTGTGCAGCTTTTTAAGGATTCCTGTGCACATGCGCAGGTGGACTTTCAGAAATACGCCTTGCATGTGCTGATTGCGTGACCACATTGTGGCTATTTGTGCAATCACACAGGGCACCCATGTTGTAAGATGACGTAAGACCCTTTACTTAGCTACTGAACTGTGCATGTGCGGTCATGCCGCTGGAGGAGTGGCAGAATCCTAACACTAAACACACC